CTACCTAGGGTCCCAAATGAGCTCGATGACTTCATCCGTCCCCAGCTCGTCCTTGAAGACGTATATCTGCGTCAAGGCCCCGTTCTTCTCATCCGTCACACTCTCCACAAGCCTCCATGTTTTTTTTTCTTCTCTGCCTAATTTTTGTCTTATCGGACCCAGGGACCACCTATAATCCTTACCGTCGGCGCCCTCCCACGTTCCCTCCATAAGATCCAACTCCGGCGCACCTTTGGGGTATCTGACGATGGAGTATCCGTTGGTGAAGACGACCTCGGCCTTCGACCTATCCGTTCCAAATCCGGAATCCCAAGCACCCATCTCAGTTTTGTTCTGAGAACTGCTGCCAAAGTCTGGGAACCGCCATCGCTGAAGGAAGCACCCGCCACACACCAGGGCGACGCGGGCCATGTCCAGAACAGGGGCAGAGTACCAACTCTTCCAATGGTGAAGCGTCAGGAACCGCCACCCGCTCTCAAAGAAACCATCCATAGACCCCTTCATGTCCTGTTGCTGAAGGCCCTTCACTCTCTCAAGCCGCGTGTGCGTGTGGTCGTGGACACACTCCATCAGCTGCATGTCCCCTCCCCTTCCGCTGAGGCAGTCGCCCAGGTGGGGCCCCAGCTCCTCTGCGAGCGGCACGGAGAGGAATATGCCCGCGCCGCCGAACGCGGCCATGCCGAAGCGCGTGGCGGCGAAGGACTCGGACAGGTCGCCAAGGTACGCGGGCCTGGTGTGGTCGTACGCGGCCAGGGCGGCGGACAGCGGCTCGATGGCGGGCAGGAAGGTGTCGTCGTCGAGGATGCCGAGCCAGAACGTGTCGTTGTGCGCGAGGTCGGCGCCCGAGTCTGCGTACTCGGATGCTGACATACGCCGGGCCCGCACATACGCAAGCATGTCGAGGATGACCATCATGTGGCTTTGGGAGACGGAGTGCGCCGGGTCGTGTGGCCGCACGAGAAGGAGCTGGATGCCCGCGGCGGCGAACTCGTCGATGAGGGCCGGCCATGTCGTGGCCTGCTCCGCCTCGAGGGCCTCCTGTGTCTGGCCCGACTCTTCGTTGGGCCTGTCGGTCACGAGGGCTATGAGCGGGGACCCTGATTTTGCCATCCAGTGTGCGAAATGGGGCTTGGCGATCTTGAGGCGCTCGGATGAGGTCGCGATGGCAAACAGGAGGTGGTCGTACTGGCCAACCCGCTCGGGGTACGGGTCCGGGACGGCGAGCTTGAACGGCTCACAAGGGATGTAGTCGTCGGCTATGCCGTCACAGGAGAGCAGGTTGACGTCGACGGGCGAGCTAGCGAGGAGCGGCTGTGTCATGTTGGCGACAACATCTCGGTCCACGCCTCCCGCATTCGGGTCGGCAGGTGATGACTGAGGCGCTGCTGTGGAGAAGACGGGCTTGATACACCGCCTGGTGAACTTGATATTGCTGGTAAGGCCGAGCTTTTTGAGGTGTTCCAGCTCCGGGATACACTGGGGCGCGGTAGAATAGTCCGGCGGAGGTCTCTCGGGCCCGGGCTCGGGGCTCTTTTCCTCCTGCTCGACCGGTATCTTGTTCGGCTCCTCGGGTGTGGATGTCGTGAGGCGGACGCTGTCTGGCACAACATTCATGTAATGTGCGAAGCTGAAAAAGAAGACGATCACGGCTGCCACGAGGACGAAGCGCCCGAACGGGCCTCTCGGGAGTCCCGCTGTCATTCTGGACGGGCGGAAACCTTCACGACCTCGCGGTCATCACGCCACCGTACTTGTAGACTGACAGATATGGGGTGCCGCGCACCAACGCAACCGTGCTGCGACAAGTGCGATGTGGCTGGGCTCGCAGTCGTCTTGAGGAAGGCCAACATACAACAGCAGCACAGCAGGACGCTTTGTTATCTGAGGCACCTCGTCGTTCGTCCCTCTGCGTTGTGCTTATTCCCAAGATCGAGTGGCTGCCTGGCAAGACTGTTGTGGTCCAACGCGGCTACACGGCAAAGGCCTAGCCGCGTCGAAGGATCCTGCGTTAATCCAATTCGAGGTTTGCCAAGATCAAGCTGCAGGCCGTATCTCCCAACTTTTTATCACCTTCCTTGAGGTGTTTTATTTCCGTCGTCCCCCGGCGGCCATGTTGGCCCGCAAATCAGGTTGAAGGGGCGTCTACAGGTGGCAAACATTCCGCGTGCGGTTTGGTTGTTTGGTTCATGGTCATTTCGGGAGCCGGGGCAAGCAAGCCAAGCATTGATTTTGACACATGCCAGCGCTTCACTGGTCCTGATATCATTGTGAAGATTGGCGATTACCTTTTTCGGCACGGTGTCAATGGACGTTCAAGTACAACAGCCGCAGTAGTATCAACTGCATGTAAGTGGATTCGTGACCCAAGAGCAGGGGTCACGGACAGCTTCTGGGGCCCGCCCTGGCAGCAGAAATCGTGCACCTTTTGTTGGGTCAACCCTAGCTTAAGGCTGAGGCTGGGGCTGAGCAGAAACAAGCTTCTTGTATTGTATCCAGTCATCTGCGCGTGGAAACGGACGGTCTGGCACCGGGGTCCCAAGAAATCCATCCACAGAGATGTTCCCACCCATCCCTGGGGTCCCATTCCAAGAACCTCCGGCCTTTTCCCAGGCTTCTTACCTTGTCGTTGTGTGTTCTGAAATAGCCCCGGCCGTTGGTCGCAAAGTCATTGCCCCAGCACAGGGAGTGATACTTGGTGGCCAACGGTGCCATGGGCGACGTGCTATCTGCCGGCATGTTTGTATGATAGTGGACCAGGGTCGACATCATGAGAGCGTACCAGCCATCTTCGGGTCTGGTCGAGAGGATGATGGCCGCCTCTGGATACGCCTTTACCAGCTGCTCGGAAAAGATGGCCGCTGGGAAATCGGCAACCCCCTGGATCCACCTCATTAGCACCGATCTAGTGCTCCATTCCGCCCAGGAGCCACATTGTCGGGACGCGTACCTCGAATCCGGCTAGAATGTTCTCGAAGTCCTCTCGTCCCCACGCGGGCCCTTTCCCTTCAAGATTGTCCTCGAGGGCTTGTATCCACAAGTCCTGGTGTTTGTTCTTGCCCACTTCGCGCATGTGGTAGACATTCGAGATGCCAAGCTGCGTCAAAGCCTCTGCAAGTGCTTTATGCCTCGGCTCATTAGCCTGGTTCGGCATGCCCAGGCTGGGGTAGAGAACGGACATTGGGTCCCCGTCCTCGGAGGGCCAAGCACAAGTACCTTCATACTCTTCACTGTCCTATAGTAGTCACACCAAATCTTGATACGAGAGAAAGGGTAACACTGAGCTAGAAGAGTCATGAAAGAGAGGGCTACTCCTGCTACCAAGCAGTCTATATGGATCCCATCCTCACCCGGTGCCCACGCAGTTTGTCAACGCGACAAGCCGGGACGTCGGAGAGACGCAGGATCACCTACCACACACGCACCTTCTCAAACGAGGCATACTTCGTGGTTCGCCCAGCGGTAACCAGGACATTTGGTAAGCAGCTTGAATTCAAGCATCTCTCGTCATCTGAACCGTCGCCGGAAGCCTGATGTCACCGCTGTGTACCAACGTTCGGAGCTTGCCCGAGCCTGTCCCGGTTGAAGTTGAGGGCTTCGCGTGATCAGCCTCTGGTCACAAATGCTCCTAACCCTTCCTTGCTTGTTTTGAAGCTACTGAGGATATGAGTGCTTTCCCGGGATTCCCAATCCGGTAGTACCGCGCCGATTTGAACCTTGAAGCTGCCCGCCTCCACGGGGTCCAACTGAGGGGGAGCAGGGGTTAGCTTCATCGCCCTAGCTGCCGAGGTCGGGCCGTCAGGCCATGGATCACGACGTCTACTCAGTCTACACACGAGAGTCTTCAGCTCTCGGCCGCTATAATGGGCACGATCCGCACCTGCGCGAGCAGAGACTTCAAAAGATCCAGCATCTTGACATCAAACTGAAGCCTCGAAACTGTGTCCACGGCAAGTATTCCACCTAGACACGCATCATGGCTGATAAAGTGTTCAACGTTTCTGTAATTGGATATGGGTAAGTTAGACCACCTCTTTGGGAGACATGCGAAAGCACTGCTGACCGGGCACCGTCACGACAGACTGTCCGCGAAGGTCTTCCACATCCCCTTCGTGGCGGCGACGAAGAACCTGAAGTTGCACTCCATCCTTCAACGAAAGCCCTCCGAAGGCAACTCGGCGCCCGAGGACCACCCCGAGGTCAAGCATTATACCTCGTTCGACACCTTGCTCCAAGATCCCGAGATCGACCTCGTCGTCCTGTCCACCCCGCCAAATACCCACTTCGAGCAGGCCAAGCGAGTCATCGAGAGCGGAAAGCACGTCCTCGCCGAGAAGCCCTTCGTGCCAACCTCGGCCGAGGCTGAGGAGCTGGTCAAGCTGGCAAAAGAGAAGAACAAGCTGCTTTGCGTCTATCAGAACAGAAGGTGGGATGCGGACTTCCTAACCGTCCAGCATCTCCTCCAGGAAAACAAACTGGGGCGAGTTTACGAGTTCGACACGCACTTCGACCGCTACCGGCTAGACGCCCCCACGTCATGGAAGAGCACCCTGACCATGGCCGACGGCAACGGGGCCATCTACGACCTGGGCACGCACCTGCTCGACCAGGTCTACGTGCTCTTCGGCAAGCCCACCGCGGCCTACGGCAAGTTCACCAACCAGCGCGAGGGCAGGCTCGTGTCCGGGGTCGGCGGCGTCGAGAACGAGCCGGACAGCATCTACGCGACGCTCAGCTACGCCGAAAAGGGCCTGCTGGTCCACGTGCGCATCGGGGTCCTGAGCGCCGAGAGCAAGCAGCCGCGCTTCTGGGGTCCGCGGCTCCAAGGGAAGCTACCACAAGACCGGGCTGGACGCGCAGGAGCCGCAGCTGAAAGCGGGCATGAAGATCACCGACGCGGGCTTCGGCGTCGACGGCGCCGCGTACAACGGCACCATCGAGGTGGTCCAGGACGACGGGTCCATCCAGGACTTCACCTTCCCCAACGTCGAGCCCCAGACCTACCTGAGGTTCTACGAGCTCCTCGCCAAGGCACTGGCGTCTGGGAAGCAGGACGACCTCCCTGTGCCGGCCCAGGAGGCGGCCGAGGTGCTCAAGATTGTCGAGGCCATTCAGGAGAGCGCCCGTACCGGGAAGGAGGTCTCTGTGGCATGATCGCTGCTGGAAGAGGTTGAAAGACAATACAGACACCAAGTCCGTGCTGCCCGGTGCATGTGCACGCGGGTCGCTTGTGTTTTGCACCGTGGTTGGTTGGGTCAACGTGGACTCTCATTACGGGAAAGCGCCCACCCAGGCTCGTTTCCAAGATGGATCAGCCACCATCGTGCCAAGGTCGATATATCTTGTTCCCTCGGTCCTTTTCAGCGCTGTGCGCCCCAGAGTTGTGGGGCGACGTAACACAACACACCGATATCGCAGCTTTCCGAGAAAGCTTCGCTCGGCAGTTGCGATTTGGCTGACTGAGATCCTCGATCGAGATTATGAGGGTGTTGCGCATCTCATTGTGGAACCGCATCCACCAGGACTGGCCAAGTACTCAGATAGTCTCCAAGGGCCAGTCTTTCTTTCATATTGAAGCGTAGGACTCAGTCTCGTGGGGTGTGTATGTCACCCTGCTCCTGCTGCCTCGGGGGCTTTATGCCTTGCAAGTGCAGGAAGTATACACACCTCGCTTCTGAAGGTGGCGTTACTCTAGCTCTGCTTCGCTGGAGTATAATACGAGTGGGAGTCGGATGGCTGTATTGGCTTGGTATATCGAGTCGGGCTGGAACCAATGGCTCTCCACGACTCTTGTCAACTTTGCGAGGTCAGATTGTTGGATCGTACGATGTGGGCCGGATGTATTTATTTCTTTAAAATGTCCTACCAGGGGGAAGGGGGTTTCTGACTAGGTTACCCAATACAGTCAAGTTTTATAATAATGCCAGCATTAAATTAAATTTTAAAGATTACAGCAAAATACTAGTAAAATATTATATAATAATTATTAACAAGAAATAATATTTAAAGAAAAACATTATATTAATTTTAATATATATTAAAGTTAACCTTATATTATACTTTATTATATTATATTAAGCATTTACTTATATTTAAATTAATAATTTAAACCTTATTTACTTTAAATTTATTTATATTTTTAAATATTTCCAGAATTTCATATATTTTCTTATAATAAATAATTAAGTTAATAAACAATAAATAATTAATTAAATTAAGGATAAGGAAAAGGATTTTTTTACCCCTTATATTAAGGTTTAATATTATATTATATATTATAATATGTTAAAATAATTATATATTAATAATAAATAAGTTATGCTAAACATATATAAATTTATGCTATTAAAACATTAATAGCATATCACTATTATATCGCCATTTCATTAACTTGCTTGCAGCACCTATACGCAACCCCCCCTCCCCCTGGTAGGGTACTTTGCGAATATATATCTCCGAGTGGGCTTCGGATATTTTCCCATCATGAATCAAAATCACTAGCTCTCTTTACAGCAAAGTCCGCCCTGGAGCTTACCCAAGCCGAACCAAAGTCAATTCCAAAGGCACAGGCGCAGTACAAGTAGCATTGTTGCCAGCGTCATGAGTGCAAGTCAGGGGGAAGCTGCCCTCGTACCTGGGGATCTTCCCACTGCACCCACCGTTGTAATTATTGTAATACACACTGCCAGTGTTGCCCGTGTCCTTGTTCGAGTCGCCGTAGAAGCCGATGTAGTCCGCCGCGCTGCCGCAGTCAAAGTGGCCCTCGCCGATCTCGTACCGGCGGATGGACTGCGCGTTGGCGGCGGCACACGTGGCCCCCGTGGCGAAGCCGATGGAGATGGTGTCGGGAGGGCCATAACCCAGCGGCTGGTACGCGGCCGAGGGTAAGCCCGTGTAGCAGTAGGGAGTGCAGGTGCACGAGGGGTCGCCGTCGGCGCAGACGGTGTTGGACGCGCTGTTCCAGCACACCCGCGCGTCTGAGGGGTAGTTTGGGTTGGCGCAGTCCAGGTTGTGCGTCGAGTTGAACCACTTGAAAGAGGTTATGGTGAGCGTCTTGGGGACGTTGCAGCCAGCTGGGATTGTCACACCCGGCGACGCTGTAGAGGATGTGGCTGCCGGCGTGGCGGCGGGTGTTGACGAGGGCTTCACAGAGCTGGTGGAAGTGCTGGACGTGGGCTTCGTCGACGAAGAGCTAAGTTTTGACGAGCTTGATGTTGGGCTGGGAGCTGCTGCTGGGGAGGACGAGACACAGCCACGGTCGTAGAATGTGTCGGAGCTGCTCGAGGAGGCATCGAAGTTGCCACTCACGGCCACGTTGAAGAGCAAACAATTCTTGCCGCCGAAGCTGAAGCTCTTGCACTTTGCGTTCGCAAGGCAGCGAGCTGAGCACTTGGCGTAGGTCGAGTATTTGGCACTGCTGTCATAGTCAAAGTTTCCGTTGCCTCGGTCGTCGCCCTTTTGGCCGCACATGTCGGCTCTCTTCTGGGGCACCAGGCCGGCTTGGCCAAGCCCAGAGAGCAGCGGAAGGAGGAGACATAGGCTTTGAAGATTGGAGAGCATGTTGCCCGGTTTGAAGGATCGGAATTAACGAAAGGTCTGGTTGATTCAAAGAATGTGGTCTAAAGAGAGGCACGGCCCGAACGGACTTTGCAAGGCAACGCTGTGGGGAAAAGCGACTGTCACAGTAGGATTACATCTCGTGATCCTGTTCAATAGATGTCTTATATAGGGTGCTCTGAATATAGGCTTCAAGGAGAGTGCTTTGTTCTCAAGTAGCTTCTCTCCTAGGCATCTGCAACCCCGGCACTACTTCTCGTGGCGTTTGCCCGGCGCGCCGCGACTCCCACGTTCCGGAACGGCTGAGGGGCTAGCACCATGCATAGTCCAGGACACGGCGAGGAGACCACGATGGGCCCGTTCAGGAGCATGCAACTAGAAGAATCTGGACAGCGTTTCCCGCGAATACGGTTGCGCTAATCCAGGGGAAAGGAGCTGAATGGCGGGCTCGAGCGCATCCCGCTTACCTGGCAGTTCGTATACGCTCGGGTACTAAATCACTAGTCTCCACCTCATCGGATTCTTTGTCCGAAGCTGAAGATTTGTCAAGTCTCAAGCCTTAGCTTTTGTCAAAACATAGTTAGCTGAACGCTCACTTGCTACTGACGTCGTAGCATCCTAGAGTCCTTGCTTGCATACCTCAGCAGGAAACTCTGCCACTGCTGACAGCACGTTTGAGCGAAGGCGAAGACGCAGACCCTCCGGAGTTTATGGAAGTGGAGGAACAAGTAACCAGCGCTCGGTTTCCGTGGCAACTTGAACCTCTACTCACGTGAACTCGGCCACTGTAGTACAGACAACACATGGAAAATTCAAACGATTACTCCACAGTTCGTGTCCGGTAAATAGGCTGATGTACAGGCGCCAGGATACCGTCCTGGATGCAATGCATGGAAATAAGAAAGGTGCCACAACGGTCGATTGCCAACCATCCAATCTGTTTACCTCCTGACTCTGGAATAATTTACATGCGTATTCTGTAATCGAGGTGCAGAACAAGAGGTGACAGCCTTCCGTCTGCCATCAAGTCTTGGGATTCTGCTGAAGTGTTCCTCTTTCAGTGAGCCGCTTCGCGCCACTTATCACTCTTTCTTCGAGCTGTTTGAAACGACTGTCTTTCATGGGAAAATTCTGCGACAAACGTTGCTTGAAACCACAACAGAAGAACAACAATTAGGACCTGCTCCCCCCCCCCCAAATACCCATCCATCGATCTCTCAAGCCTCTATAGGTGTGAGACTCGTGAGATGTACCACTGCTGACCTTCACAATATGAGCTTGAATTTGGTGCTCGTACAGTAGCAAGGTGACAGAATGACCTCCCAGCACGCACCCTGTCTGAGATGAAGGCGAGCTGACCATTTTGGGAGCCGGTTTCCGCCCGGCGGCCGGATTATGTATGTTGTGTAACGCCAAAATTTGTATTGGGCCTGCAAAAACCCACAAACAAGATTGAGGAACGTTGCATGCGCCATTAGGGATGGTGACCGATGCGTGTTATCCATCGGCAACATTTTAAATCCGATATTGGTGCCTGGACTGCATCCATGGGTTGAACAGGACCAGAAGTGGTGATGATCGGCTGGTGGAGGGCGCTCCTGTGTCTTGAAAGACATGATCTGCCCACAACTACCGCCTGGACCCGTTCTTCTGCAGGCTGTCACGGCTGTGTCGTCACTATGCTTAGCAATTCCACATCGGTGGTGCCACAAAATCTGCAGGTTTGCTCCCGAAATTTGACAGGTCGAGCATTTGTCTGGGCAACCTCTGGAATGTTGCATCTTACCCATATTGGTGACCACATGGTCCCTTTCTGGTTAGTCTCTGTGGTCCCTGGACGAAGTCGATCAGAGCTGCCAGCCGGACACCGTGTTCAGGCTTTCTCATCCGGCTCATCCGACTTTGGCGATGAGCTTACAGTTGTGACGTGAAGCTGGCTGCTGTGGGATTGAGGGAGACCGGGGAGCCACCATCTATGCACACACAGAGTGGGGAAATGGACGCGGCTAGGACATCAAGCAGCCATGATTTGGAGCTCACGTCGGCCGAAGCCGGGCCACAAGGAGCAGAAATGAGTCCGGAGCATAAGGACCCCGTGGCGCTGAACGACGAGGCTGACGAGGCTCTTGGCACGGCAGGCCGTCGCAGAAAGCCATTGTCTTTCTACATGGCGTTTCTGTGCCTTTTAATCATGGTGTTTCTCTGTTCTATGGACTCGACCATCATGGCGGTCTCGATACCAGTAAGTCAATCCCAGCTGCACCACCTCAAAGCCTCGAAATAGTCACAGAAGCTAATTGGCCCAGATCATCACCGAAGAATTGGGCGGTACTACCTTTCAGGCCTTCTGGGCTAACCTCGCCTTCACCCTCACGGTCGTCATCAGCCTGCCTATATACGCCAGCGCATCGGATGTCCTCGGCCGTATAATCCCACTGTACACATGCTACGTGCTGTTCTTGGTGGGATCCGTCGTCTTCGCCACCGCAAATTCCATGGCGGTAGTCATCATTGGCCGTCTGATCCAGGGGCTGGGTGGCGGCGGTCTCGATGTCCTCAACGAGATACTGATTGTGGATATCACGACGCTCAAAGAAAGACCGCTGTATATGGGTCTGATGGCTGTTCCCATGGCTCTGGGTACCATCGCCGGGCCGATAGTAGGTGCAGCGTTCAGCGAGTACATCAGCTGGCGATGGCTTGGCTGGATCAATGTGCCCCTGCTCGGGGTCGACGTTGTCCTTGCAGCCCTTTTTCTACGCCTGAAGGCTCTCGATGAGCCTCTTTCCACGAGATTTACTCGGCTCGACTGGATAGGGAGCCTCATATTCACTATTGGAGCTACTGCTTTTGTCCTCCCGCTCAGTTGGGCGGGAAATCTCTATCCTTGGTCCTCATGGAAGACAATCGTGCCCCTGGTCATCGGGCTGCTCGTCCTTCTTGTCTTTGCCGCTTACGAGGCCAAGCCGGACGCGCCGTTATTTCCACACCGCATGTTCAAGTCTCGAACGTCGCTCATGACCCTTCTCAGCGGCACAATACATGGCCTGATAATCTATCCTGCCACCACATACCTGCCCCTATTCTTCCAAGCTGTGAAGCTGCAGTCACCCCTTCAATCTGCGGTGTCTCTACTGCCATCATGCTGCGGAGTGGTGGGATTTGCGCTGCTGTCTGGGGTCGCCGTGGAGGTCAGCCGTCGGTATCTGTGGCAATTCTGGGCTTCCTGGATCACAATCGCTATCGGAATTGGTATCATTTCGATATTCGACGGGGGCTCTTCCGTAGCAGAGACGGCTGGGTTCCAGATCATCTCTGGCGTTGGCCTTGGTGCCCTGTGGACAGTGCCGGCGCTTTCCATGCAGGCAAGTGCCGCGAACGTCGAGGACCAAGCCCTGGCAGTCGGTATACTGGTGGCTTTCCGCCTTTTTGGTGCTCTCATAGGCCTTGCGATTGCGTCTACCGTGTTCGCCAGTATCTTTGAGCAGTCCATTGCTGCTCTCCAGCCTCTACCAGCCGCCGCCGCGGCACTGGACCAGGCAAGTCAAGCAATTGGATTCATTCCTGGCTTGAAGGGCCTTGATGACCCATCAGATGTTCTCTCTGGCATTATCAAGGTGTATCGAGAATCTTTCCAGGTGGTATGGTATGTCATGGCCGGATTCGCCTGTGTTGGCTTCTTTTCGAGCTTGTTCATCAAGGAAAAGTCGATAGAAACCGAAGAGACAGGCAAGCAACATTTGCAAACAAGGGAGAAAAGTAGAATTTAATCTTGTCTATTCTATTGCGTCACACCTAGTGGATAGTGTGAATTTAGATGGAAATCAAATGTCTGAATACTGATTTCTGCACAAGCGCATGTTGCTGCTCAGACGCACTTTGCAATTCCACTCGGGCAGTGTCCATCTTTGTCAGACTTTACAAGATTTGGGCTTAACAGTATCTCGTGAAAGCAAGCCATTGCTTTGGATCAGCAGCAGTAAATCTGTGTTTATCAACGGCAAGCTTGACGGCTTCGCCTCTCAGCTACGAACAATAGGCCAGAGTGCCGACTATTCCTAGATTGAACTCAGCCGATGCTGCAATTTTTGATGAAATGCATTCCTTGAGTATCCATATCCGGCGCATCTGATTCTCATTCCCGGACACTGGAGACTGAATTTAATGGTTTCCTGTTGGTGCTCAGAGTGAAAAGCTCGAGGAAGCAAACCGTGGCACCAACAATTATCAAGTCGCGTATGAATATTAATCCTTTGGTGGGGCTAGATAGCAAGCTGCTGACATATGTGTGTCTTCCTACCCCTTCCTACGGCTGACCAACGCTGCCGCGCAAGTGCTTAGTTCGGGCGCGCTGGTCTGTAAGTCGGCACTAGTCGGACCAACATTAGAAATCCAAGAACCGCTGGTACGGGCACGGCGGAGCACTCCAATGCAACATTAAAACCCCTCTGATCCGCTCCCCTCGTCGAATTCTGTGTTTGTCTTCTGAGCATACCATCCAAACTCCTCCAGTGCCTTGCCCACAAATCCGAGTATATCTTCACCGCGGCTCTAAGACACACCAAAATGTCGTTCCCACAGCCAGAGAAGAGTGAGGGGTTCACACTCGTCATCACCACGACCGTACAGCCAGGCAAACTAGACGAGTTTCTTGAGAATTTCTGGCATGTTTTCAAACTTGTGTCAGCCGAGCCAGAGTGCCTGAGCTTCGAGTTGTTCAGGTTTCCAGACGAGCCAAACAAGCTCAAGTGGGTTGAGAATTGGAGCAAAAGCAAGGACTGGTTCCTGGAGGTAAGATTTCGGACATCTCTCCGTCACGAAGTACCTGCTTCCTCCCTTCCAAACCTTCTGTGCCTAGGTATTACCTAGTGCACGTTTGTGGTCTTTGATTGGGCAAAAAGAAGAGGTTGTATGAGAGAGTGTAGACTGTCATTTGACTGACCATTGCTGCAGCACCAAATCACTAAGGACTATATGAAGCCATACACCGAGGCGACTGATCACCTGCTCATTGGCGGCAAGCAGTGGGAAATACTGGAGCGATTCGGAGGTGATTGGGCTCGTTCCAAGGAAGGTGCTTACAAGCAGTCTTAAGTCTCGGACTTTATGAGATGTTATATATGTAGAGGACATCTCGACTGGATTGACGGTTTTCGAGAAGGCCAGAATCTAGGCTTGATGTTGCTTTAAATGAACTCTGACGAGATTGTTCTCATGAATACGCCGCCGCCTGGGCGACCCTGATTGAGCAACTGCCCCACTCAACCTTCATTTATATAATATGTATTAACAATCTTTGGTTGGCATTCCACTGATAAAGATCTTGTCTCTATCGATCGGCCGACGTTCATCGCTAGGACTTAGGTAACATTTTACGAGAATGTAGAGCCAAAGCTCGAGGGATGGAGAAGATGTGGCCAATCCGGTGCAAGGCAAGGATCGCGAGAATAGCGACTGTCTCTCCAGATGCATGGTGGGAAGAGACCAACCTTCAGCGCTAGTTCCAAATTTGATTGTCAGTAAGAGGGATGACTCGCCCGGTGCAACAAGATAGTCATCTAGAACTCACCTTGAGGGAACGCTCCATAACATACGCATGACAAAATAGTACGCCGAGGACTTGATGAGTTCTGTGAAAAGGACAGCAGTCTTTGTCGAGGGGTGCTTGATGCCGGGCGGCGGTGCTCCATGTGAGAGCTAGTGCCAAATAGGTGGTTTGCATTCATAAGCGGCCGCATTGTCTGATCTTTCGAGGAATCATGACCTGCTACCACGGCCATATACTGGGGTGTCTTATCTATCCCAAGGAGAGGCCGTGACAAAATGGGGCAACATGTTGTTCCCAGTCGTTCCGTCCACGATGCTGCTCGGAATTTGCGTCCATGTCCCTCGACTGCCAGACCCTTTCGATAACTGAGCGGGTTTGTGAAATATTGGATACAGAATTCCCAGCCATTTTGTCCAGAGCGAACAATACAAAGTTTCGTCCATGCCGTGGTGCGGCCGATGTTGTCTCAGTTGTCCAGACCAGGTCTTCCAACGGGTCCAGCTCAACAGCTGCGATGAAAATGGACCACGCGAGCCCGGCCATGACATCTCGCTCCAGTAGTGCAAAGACCAGTCGCAAAATCTGAGTAACGGAAGCACCCACTCGCGGAGACTTAGGCTGAGCGTCGCGTATGGCGCATTCGAGATACAGGACAGCCGAAAGCCTCTTCAGCTCAGCCGTCGTCTGGAGTACTTCGTCCTCCGGGTTAAACACTCGCTGCTCAAGCCGACCAAGCCTTTTCTCTAGTGAATAGACCCGAGACAGAAAAACGTCACTCGCAGCAGGGTTCCCTGACCGCAAGCGGCTCAACTCCGTGATCTCGCACAGTATGGAGACAAGTTCTGGTGAGCATCCCAGCCACGCGTCTGTGTCGTTGCTAGTCCCGTGGGACACCCAGAAGTCGCCGTCAAATATCGGTTCTTCGCCGCAGGCCGTCCGGCCGATAATGTCTTGGTAAGCAAAGAATTTCTCTGAAAAGTCCACCAGCTCAGCCGTCGACTGGCTCTGAGGAGCTGCAGAGAGGAGCGCCTGTCTGCGTAATCGGATGAGATCTCGGGCACCTTTTAGGTGCACAACCCACCGCTCGTCGCAATCGTGGATGATACCAATCAGACAGAGCAGCATCGTGATGACCAGCGTCTCCGGATCAAGGGCGACTTGGGTCGTATCGGTCGTCCTCATCCTACGGCCGAGGTAGCGAAGGACGCCGCCGCTCAGCTGCAGTGCCGTGGCCTTGAATGCGGCATCTTGTCTTGCACGGTGGCTCGCAGAAAGTGCCAGTATTGAATTCAGAACCACTGGTGAGTTGGAAATTGAGAAGGGGAGAATCAGCGTTGCAAATGGAGATTTGGAAAGTGGACTCGGCACTGTTAATGGACAGAGTCTTTCCATGTAATACGTCAAGAGGGTCGATTGGAGCGAGCTTAATGATAGAAGGGATGGTGGTCGGTTGATGTTGAGCGTCCCTGATGCGTGCTCCTTTCCCGCTTGACGAACGTGGGTGGACAGATATGCTTCCATTTCCAGAGCGTCAAGACTGTCAGAATGCTTGATTTGGGCTTCATCGTAATGGTGGCCTTGCGGACCCGGTAGAAAAGGCTCAACTTTGGATCCTGGTGACTCGACACGTTTCAAAGCGACACATTCGTTGGTCTGTCTGCCGAGGGTGACATTGACGAAGCTGTAAGCCTGTATCGTTGGGATATCACACCAGATAGTGTCCTTGTGTCCAACGCCGGTAAAATCCGGGGACCTGGCGGCGGGTGGAGACTTCGACCACACACCACTGCGGCCGAAAGCCAATCCCTTCGATGCGAACTCGTCTTCCCACTTCAAAGTGGATAGGGGCTGGCACCTGAACCCATTTGCTTGGCACTGTCGACACACGGGCTTGGACTCGTCGCACTTGATCCTGCGTACTCGACACCGCTGACAGCCGGTCCTCGTGCGCTTCCGGCTGCCCTTCGGCAACGAGCCTTGCTGAGGCATTGATGGCGGGTGCCGGTCCGGGTTGAGCGCGGCCTGCAGTCAAGTTGTGCTCGCAGGGCTGGCTGCCCGTCGCATGACCATCAGAAGTCGGCTGGGGGGACGAGGAGCTGGGCCAACGACTCGTTCGTGGAGACGAGTCAAGGTCCCGTGAATCCGGAGCCGAGTGGAGCAATTTCTCCGAGGGAGGGGTGCCCCGGGTTGTCGGTGATGTGCACATGTGGAGACGCGCGAACGACTTCGTCTGAGCTTGTTAGTCATCGTCTTGTATCGACGTTAACTTTCTGATATGGACAAGATTTATTGCTCGAACTTTCTTTCCACTGCTTGTGTGCCCACGAGTGGATGATATCAACATGGGCGTACCCGATTTTGATGCATGCAAGCGACCGTTTAGTAGATATCTTAAGGTCGCAGGCGTGTGCTTCTACATGCCACCAGCCAGTGCCTTGCGAAGCTCGTTTGAACACAAATGATACATTGCTACCTAGGTATGATGGGAGAAGGGTGAACACTATTTCTGGGAGTGTTTTTGACCACCTGATATTGAAACATCATCGCTGTTTGTCACAGCTCGGACGGCAAGACGGAACTAGAACTTGAACTGCCTGCAAACATGTCGCAGTACACATCACATTTGAACATATGTTCCGCCGTCACTGATTCTGCAGTCAGTTGTGTGAGCAGGGGACCAAGGATCCCGGCCCCATCTTGAGGAATATCTCGATGTGAAAGATGGAATGTTCAAACACCACCTGTTGAGTCATTTCTTATTTAGTTCCAGGGCCCAAAGTGTTCACTGCCAGGCCAACTCAAGAAGCCCAGGACTGTCCCAATGGAAGGCCAGTCCAAAAAGACGTCGGTTGCAGGGCCCCAAAAGAAATCTAAGGCAGGCGCCAAGTCATAATTTCCTAAGGTACCTTTGTGGAATCTTGTTGGGTTCAGCGGCCTTCCAGAAGTTGAATAGCCGTCGCTGGCTGCCCGATGGAGGAAGGAGGAAGGTACGCGTGTGGAGAGCACCTGAACGCTGGGAAACACGGAATTTTAGCAGAATGACGTCCAATGATCATTTTGAGAAGGAAGAATCGAGCGAAAGTTGCGCCCTTACGCAGTGACTGCGGCCGTGGAGGCAGCAAGATGCCACCACTTCATGAGCTGGTCAGGTCAGTTTTAGCTGCCATGCAGGTGGACGTGGGTGGCTCGACGTCGAGGGTCACGCGAGCAGTGCTGACCACCAGCATGGAAGCTTAATCACTCAGTCAGGTTGGTGAAGAAGGAACGAAAAAGAAAACAAAAAAACACAAAAAAAGTCCTGCCAGAGACGAGAATCGAACCCTGGCTGTCACCCTCCAGCTTTGCTGGACCACCCTGGACCTGAAAGAGACCCGGGGACCTTGCCGCTCCGCCCAGGTGGCTTTGTTGAGATGGGATGAAATAAACTGACTTATCAAGGGGACAGCGTCTTGGGGGGGGGGGCTCTTTCCCAGCGTGATATGCGACCCCCCCCTCTTTCCTTGTGCCTCCGTCTGGACTGATCTCTGGTGCGCAAACTGAGAGACCACGACTACCTGACCTCTGAGGACCCAGTTCATCCCCGATCGACATGTGGAATGAGAGAAAGATGCCTGTGACTCGCCTTTCGATCGCCCCTCCACAGGATAAGAACGAGTGCTGCGTCCTTGGACCAAGAGGACTGCATCGGCAGCCTGTGACTGTTTCCTGGCAATCCAAGCATGCGTTTTCGCTGAAGATCTCCGACCGACACAGTACCTTCAAATACTCAGGCATGAGAATGAAATGAATCGAAAGGAAATGGGACCTAACTAAAGCTGGCCACCTTTGCACCGTAAGCAGCAGGACGAGGTCAAGGCATCGTCAACCTGCAGTAATGAATGTGGCTAGCTGACAAGACACATTTCATACTTCATACTCGAGAACAATTCAGTCCATGTGGCAAGACGTCTGATGGATGAGAATGATTGGAATCTTAAATCGTCAGAGGCAATGGATGTATTTGCAGTCAGCCACCAATACGTAGCAGGCTGATCTCCAGGGGCACGCCCGATCGGGCCTAGGAACACTGTTCATGCGCGTCAGATTTACCGCAGCATCGGTGCCGCAGCACAGTGCAAACTCAGCGGCCAAGATTGATCCGCTGCTTACTGCGGGGCCTGCTCGAACCTAAAGTCAAGCACCGTTACACACGCACTCACTGCTTGATCGCCGTCACTGAAGCATAAGAGGCGAGGTGTTCGACGCATCTTCCACCCGCATGAACTCATGCACCCATCCCCATTGTCTTTCCTTCCTAACATATCATCAACTTGACGCTGAGCCTGAGCGATTATGGATGAGAAGCAGCCCTTCCTGGAGCAGACAGCCGGCGCTGAGCCGCCTCGACTTCGAGCTCAACGAACGCGAGCGCGACACACCAGGGGCCTCATGCTGCTGACCAGCTTCCTGGCCTGCTTTGCCGTGATTCACTACTCCTGGACCTCTCTACTGCTCCCTGCCTACCGCCACCACTGTGCACACCACCACCACCACCATGACCACGGCCAGCGGTTCAGCTACGAGGGCGAGCACATCAGCTGGGAGAAGTGCGGCGAGATCAGCGGCCGGCCCGTCGAATGCAGCACCATCACGGTGCCCATGGACCAGTTCAACGCCACCAACTCGGGCGACAAGGTCTTCACCGTGCCGCTGATCCGCCTGCGCGGGAACAACGCCACCCAGAACCTGCTGCTGAACCCGGGCGGGCCCGGCGGCTCAGGCGCCGAGTTCCTCTTCCGCCGCGGCGACCAGCTGCACACCATCGTCGGCGAGGGCTTCCACCTGCTGTCCTTCGACCCGCGCGGCATCAACGGCTCAACCCCGAAGGCCCTGTGCTTCCCGGACCGCGAGACCCGCCGCAACCTCGCCGCGCCGACGCCGCTGCGCCTCATCGAGGACAGCGGGCCCGGCTACGCCAACGCGCACAACTTTGTCCGCGCCTGCGCCGACACCATGGGCGAGCACGGCCTGTACATCAACACGCCGCAGACGGCGGCCGACATGAACAGCATCCTGGACGCGGTTGGACAGAAGGATATGGTCTACTGGGGCTTCAGCTACGGCACCCTTCTGGGGCAGACGTACGCCGGCCTGTTCCCGGAGCGGTCGCACCGCGTCATCATCGACGGCGTTGTGAACCAGTTCGACTGGTACGAGGAGCTCGCCAGCTCCGAGGACCTGTCCGACACGACCAAGGTGCTCGAGGGCTTCTTCAGCGAGTGTGTCAAGGCGGGCAAGGACTGCCCGCTGTCCTCGCTCGCCGACTCGGCCGACGAGCTGTGGGACAAGGTCCTGGGCCTCGCCGACAGCGTCTACGAGGAGCCGCTGAGCGTATACATCAACAACACCGAGTACGGGCTGCTCGACTACGCCAAGATCCTCTTCGACGGCATCTTCCCCGTCCTGTACAAGCCGGCCAACTGGTACCCCCTCGCCGACAAGCTCGCCCAGCTGCTGCAGGGCAACGCGACCGAGGCGTTCCTGGCCTACGGCAAGGGCGACCCCTGGGGCTTCGACGGCGACGCCAACGTCTTCGTGCAGTTCAACGACATGCGCTCCGGGCCCAAGCACTGGCCGCAGGACCGCCAGTCGGCCCTGGAGATCATCGCGCCCGTCTTCAACTCGAGCCTGTTCGGCCCGGCCATGTACGGCGGCTTCTACGCGCAGCAGCAGTGGCGCGTCCCGCGGACGCACACCTACGTGCCGCGCCGCGGGGTCGAGACGGCCCACCCGCTGCTGATCCTGTCCACCACCTACGACCCCGTCTGCCCGCTCGTGTCGGCGCGGTCTGCCAACGAGGCGTTTGCGCGCTCGCAGATTGTCGAGGTCAAGGGGTACGGCCACTGCTCTGTGGCTGTGGCGTCGTCGTGCCTCGCCAAGAATGTCAGGGCGTTCTTGTACAATGGCACGCTGCCTGAGGGGTACACGCAGTGCGAGGTCGACGGGCCTTACTTCGTGAAGCCTGACGAGGATGGCAAGACCGTGTCTGCGCTCAAGCAGTTTGATGACCCCGAGGAGGCGAGGATCCACATGGCGCAGCTGCAGCTTGCGAGGGACCCTGACTGGCCGGTCTGGTCACGTCGGTAATTACTCGTTAGGTCATGGGTGGCTTGCCCGGTCAATGACTGAGGCTATCACAGATTTGCACTCGGCTGTGGGTATGCGACGCCAGAACACAGGAGTAAAGGTAAGCACGGGACTGTCATCCAAGTTGTACGATATGTAATGGGCACGGGAAGAATGAATTCAGAGCGATTACTGGTATCTTTCTATGTTGCCCCGTGGACGCCATCTCATGCACGCAATTACTCTCCCGGGATGTCACATGTGCAATTCCCGACCCATTCTCTAAATACAGTACCCAAACGATGCAATAAAGCAAAAGCAAAAGCAAAAGCAAAACCAACTCCAAGACACCAGGCATCATGTCATGCACCATAACAGTCATCCAGCCAGAGAACCATGTCTCCTCCCTCCACGAAATCACTCAAGCGCGATCCCCGTGCGCTCATGCCCCGCGGTAGTGGTCATACGAGGGCTTTGGCTGCTCGGCCGAGTACGGAGGGGCGTCGTGCTGGGTATAGCTCGGGTAGGCCGTGTTGTGGCTCAGGGGCTCCATGCCGGTTCCCGCGGGGGCGTAGTTGGTCCTCAGCGTCCCCTTGCGCGACTTGTGGAAGATGACGCTGGCGTAGATGAGAAGGCCGACAAAGGAGGCGCTAGGGGAGGGGGGAACAGCAGATGTTAGCAACTGGTCACAGATTGTACGTCTGCGTGGTAAGGATTGTTATACTCACAGGACGATGAGTGGGATGATGATGTCGCCGCCGAGGCGGCCGCCCCAGCCAGAGACAGGCCCATCAGCACGACCCAGACGGCCGTCTGGATGACGTTGGTGATGAGGAAGAAGCGTGGTGTGAGGGTCCTCCGGGAGCGCTTGATGATGCAGACGATGTCGAGGATCAGGCAGACCACTACGATCACCAGCACCACGACCATGACCCCGATGACAGCACCGAAGCTCGTCCTCTCATAGCCCTCGTCTTCGAGCGCGTCGTTGACCTCGTCGCTAAAGGCGCCAATGGCGGCGAGAGCTGCCACATATGCGGCGGCGTAGATGAGCATCACGATTATGCGGACGACCCAGAAGGGGATCAGCACGCGCTTGAGGAACGGCGAGGAGTCGCCGACGATGTGTTGTGATGCCATGCTGGGCGTGATGTTGCGAGTCTCGTGACTTGGGAGTCTCGCTGTCGAGGGAGATTGTTCGCGTCCTGAAAATCAATCGGTAGCCGTTGTACACAGACGAAGATTGTAAACAGTAGCACTTCAAAGAGCGGAACGGTGAATGCTTTATTATCTTTGAAAGACGCGAATGCATTCTGCCCCAAAAACAGGGCGGCTGACCCAGACTTATTTCAACTTGTTGATTTTCTTTGTCGCTGGGCGCCTGCAGCCACACCACACACAAGATCCCTGCCTGCAGGCCCGTCTGCACGCGAAGGATCCCGTCCCCGGTCGACAGAGACAGCCCAACTCCGCCCGTGATCCGCTCCAGACGCTGCATTGCCTCTGCGGCCTCTCAGCCGCAGCCACTAATTGACACGAGCCAAGCACTCTTTTTTAGGCAGTGACTTATGCCGCCCAGGGTTGCCCAGCAAAGTCAGCGAAGCTGCCCAGGCCAGGTTTGGCCAATGCAGGGGATCTTCACTCGAGTGGACCACAGGACGCCATCCTCTGTGTTCCTTTTCTGGGCTTCTTTACTCAGCCTCTGCCGGCCTACCGCCCACGGACGCGCCCTAGTAATGTAGGAACGCGGCACACTGCCACCGAGGCCGACCACTTGATTGCACGGCAGCCGAGCCCGGCCAAGCGGTGGCTCGTACGGGGCTAGCCTCTTGAACGGCCCATCGTGATGCACTCTGACGTACCCACACCGGAGGAGCAGAGCATTGGTGTTTTTCTTGTCATTGTCTCGCTGCCTGCACGGTTTCATCATCCACCCGGAAAAAACTGAGGTCGGCTGACAGACATCTGCACGCACGGGGTGCACGCTTCCCAACGGCTATGCCGAGGCGTTGGTTCAATTGATCCTGAAGGATGCGGCAGTAAAAAAAAAAAGGGCTGAGTTGTTCTCAACCCCTGCTTGCTGTTCAATATCACCCTGCCCATGCTCATATCCACTCGACTGTTCCAAGGGATGGGGACTGTCAATTGACAGAAGAATGGCAAAACTCAGACTGCGTGACCAAGTCAATACAAGCGGATTCATTGACACATCAGAGCTTAGTGTACTATGATACCTCGAATTGATTGAGAGCAAGCGGGGAGAGGATTGAGCCCGCCATGCTGCGAATGTCACCACTTACTTACACGCGCACACGTACCGTAACATTCGGCACAGAGAGTCACAATTGAGAAGTACACAGCGTTGGCTGGAGAGCCAAGGTGCAGAAGAGCATTGATCTCAATTGCGGCAATCCTCAGCAACAGCAAGCGCTAATCCCATGAGAGAACAACTTTAGTAGCTCAAGTTTTTAATCGTCAGCTGCTTTGGAGTGAAATAGGTGCTTCCTGACGCTTCCGTATTCTTACTTTTCGTAATGAATTGCTCGCGGTATTCCTCAGATGATAATCGAGTTCTGCACCCCAGTGTAAAATCAAGCCATATTCAATGCCTGGATGAAACCTGTCCTAAGTGCCGTTGTAAGATCCTACAATAAGAAAGAAGCCCAGGTCTATGTGTATAGTAGAAGACAGAAGAAGGTAAATAATAGGGGGATGCATTCCAAAGTATCAATTGCACACATAATGAGATAGTGGTAGTCTTCTCATGTGAATACTCTATCCCTAGGTCTACCCACGGAAAGCGGCCTCTACTTATAGTACCGTTTCAACACGAAAGCCGAGACTACGATATTTAATATCCAGACAACGCTCACTGCCGACCTCGAGTGTTTCACCCGATGAAAGATCACTCATCCCAGACAACAGCACTCAGCCCATCCTCATTATTCACCGTCCCCGGCGCCCCGACCTGCAGCTGGGCAACCACGTCGCCCAGCCTCCCCGTGGTCACGTTCCTCGCGACCACCACGACAGTCGACGAGGTCTGGCCCCCGTACGCCACCGCATCCCCGGCCTTGTTGATGGCAAACGTGCGCGGGAAGTACGTGTGCGTGTTCGTCGCCTCCACGAACGAGAGCTTCCCCGAGGCCGGGTCGATCGCGAACGTGGCAGCCGAGTCCTGCTGGGTGCCAAAGGACTGGTCGTTGCGGTTGGTCGCGTAGACGTACCCCCCCGAGATGTGCACCTCGGCCGTCTTGGACCCGGCGGGCGGCGTCTTGCCCGATGGGTACGTCGGCGACGACTGGATCTCGCTCAGGCCGAGGCAGCCGGCGGCAGGGGCCGTCACGGCCCACGTCGTGACGGACCCCGCGAGCTCGTTGACGATGTAGAGGTACGAGGCGCCCGAGGGCGACTCCCAGAACTCGCCGTGGCGCGGGCCGTCGCCGGCTCCCGCTGCGGCGGCGGGGCAGCTGGTGAGCTGGCCGGTTGAGGCGTCGATGCTGAAGATGCGGATCAGGTCTGCGCCCAGGTCTGCGCTGAGCAGGAACCTGCCGGTCGGGTCGGCGAAGACGGAGTGTGGGTGCGGCTTGTCCTGGCGGTAGGGGTCCGGTCCCGGGGCGGACATGTTGAAGGCGAGTTTCTGGACCTGCTTGGAGCTTCCGGACAGGGGCAGCCTGTAGGTTGTTATTGTCGAGGGGTCACTGTCCCGATTGTTAGTGTACGTCTCTGGTGAGGGAACATGCTTTGAGGCTTACTATTCAGCCACAGCAAAGAACCCTCGCCCATCGCTGCCTCCGTACAGCGAGCTGTGAACTCCACCACCGCTTGTTGGCGCGGTGCTGACCAACTGTACGCTGTTGTCGTTGTTGACCTTGAGCGTAGTGAGCACAGGGGCACCATACTGGGCCTCGTCTGTCACGTATAGGTTGCCAGTCGCAGAATCCAGTGTCAACCAGCTGGGCGTGAGGCCACCTGCTCGCAGAGTGGATGTGATAGCCAGCTGTCCTTTCCCATTGCTTGTCTTTAACGAGAGCGAGTAGATACTGCCGCTGAAGTGGGATACAAGCAGGTTGGCGCTAAGGACTGTCTCTGGCAACAGGCATAAAGCTGCCAGCCAACTTCTCGCGGACCACATCATCGCGACGAGTGCAGGAGTAAGATGCCGGAAAACGTATTTCGATATGCCAACAAGCAGAGGTGGGCTTTGGGACCGGGAGCTTTTCACTCTTGGCAGGACTTTTGAGTTCAAATTATTCTGCAAGACATCTATAGCACGAAAAGTATTTGCCAGGGGCCATCGGAATGGCTCCAGTGGGTGTTAATTCGCCTGTTACATCGGACGCTGGCAGGACTGCCGCTTCGGGCAATATAGCGGACGCCCCATGTCCGTGCTAAGGTGCTCGGGGGTTGGAACCAGTCCTGCCGTACCGCGTTCCGGCCCGGGTGTATGGTAAGGCTAAATGCAGATCTTGATCTAAAAAGGCGCACAGATTGAGTGGCATCCGTGCAGATGCTTTTGCGTCGTGCCACGAGTCCCGTGATGTCGCAGAATAATTGTCTGCCGGCTGGGTTTAATATGCTAAGGTCGGCGTCAGTCCGTCCATGTCAATGACGGCGTATTCACTCATTTTTTGTTGGAATATGGATGGCGTGATTATGTTCTATTTACAGTCAAGATGCCGTCAAGTCGTTACAAATATGGGCCTGCTATCGATTCGGCCTCAAAAAGTTCAGGGACTTCCTGTCTCCCTTACTTCGGCTCCCCTCCCTGTTCAGCGTGAACATGTCCCTCGAAAGTCGTACCTCGTGACCTTGTATCGGCAATATCGGCCCCGAATCATCGCTATGCTCCGCCCCCAGGACTTGAATATTCGGGACCCGGAGGGAATCGTCCGTGTTCGTCCTCGTCAGCGCCCCGCCCCCGACGCTGTCCTTCTCCTCAATCGATGTCAGTTCCCTCACATTTGATGTCGTGCCACCACTGCGCGAACTGTCCTTGGTCGGTGTATTGAATCTCGACGTGGGCGGCGAGCCTGGTGTCAGGGGTAATGGCTTCATGTGCGAGATCTGCACTGATCGTGTGCCGTCCGACCGCCCGGGAAGATCATCCATCGATATCATGCTCGGCTCGGAGAAATCGTCATCGTATGCTTGGCCGGCGCGCAGTCGGCTCGTTGATGTGACGGTCAAGGAGCGCTTGACGGTTATGCCGCCTTCGCCCGACGAGAGCGGGTCGGCTGTGGACGAGCGGCTCTTGCGGCCGCCAAAGCAGCAGCTCGGCGACTCGCGCCAGCTCTTTGGTATCAGCAGGTTGGCGAGCTTCTTCCTCGACGAAGCTGTGGTGCCGAAGACGACGAAGATGAAGATGCCTGGTGTTGTTCCGGGCATGAAAAGGACCATGGTCTGTATCGCATGGCCCGCGCTCAAGTCCGGCGCAGAAGCCTTTGAGTCTTTGATGTTGTTTTGCAATGCCGTTACTTGAAAGAGAGTGTTGGTGCACTCAAATATCCTGTGTGAGGGCGGGGATGTTATTACAATGATGCAGACGCGTACTGGGAAAGGGGAAGAGGGGTGTGGCCTTACGCTAGGGAGACAAAAGCGATGGTGAAGCGAACCATGAGCCATCTATCGTAGAGTCCACGTCTTCCCGACAAGTTACGGTGCGAGCTGTCTCGAGAGCCGGCGGCTGCTGTGCCCCCTTGTGAAGTCGAACCGGAGTTCCAATCTGGCGGGCTCCATTGTGTGAACTCTTGTCTTGTCCTCACGTATCTGATCAGAACTGCTATCATAAGCCCACTGCCTATGGCAAGGCTGATCATCACTACTCGCAGGGTTAGCCGGGAAATACTCTCTGAGGGAACAGATGTGTGTTTATGGGATAACTGACAAGGTAAGTCGGCAATGAGGATAAAAGCCACGAAAGACTCCTTAAGTGACGGGATTCGTAGCATCAGAATAGTCAGCAAGGGCAGAAGCCACGAGATCAACTTCCCCGCGGTGTGCAGCTTGCGGAACGTGAGCCTAATCGCCCGCCGCTCCCCAACTTGATATGTCAACTGGCACAGTTCAGCCGCCCAGAACATGACCAGCATTGCCTGCACGCTGTACAGGTAGTACTCTGCAGACTTGTGTCAGCGGGGTTCGTGTCACAAGGAGTGGTGAGACAAGTCGTACGAAGATAATAGAGGACCAAGTCAGCTCCAAAGGACCCATTGGCGATGGCTAGTTCTGGGTCGTCGGCGGGTAGTCTCAACTTGCGCTCGAATCCCTCCGTCACTATATCGACGTAAAACGTGATGTCTCGTATTTGCTGCACAATGGAGAAGGTCGTGCTGGATATCGACGACACAGCTAGCAGCGAAAGGTCTGGAAGTCGGGGCAGTCTCAGCATCATATATTATGCAAGTGGCGGCCATCATGAACAGAAACGGAAGCAGGCTGTCTTACAAGACCATCCTTCGTGGTGCGACCATGTCAGCCACAGCAGCAAGCTGCTGCAGATCCAGCTAGTCGACGCCCATATGAGCGAGATGGCTGCCGCCCCTTCTGACCCAGCCGGGAGTTGGTTGATGCCAGGCATCGCGAGCGCGGTGAGCCCTGAGCCTCAGCTCTTGCGAACAAGTCGGCGATGAGAAAGCATGAGGGAGCACAGGCCGGGGGGGAATTGACAAGGTGGTATCGAAGTAAAAGGGAAGGAGGCCCACGGGAGGGAAATAGTTTTCACTGGGATTAAACTTTTCGGCCTCGTGGCGAGCCTCCCCCTGCGCCTCCCCGGCGCCGAGAAACAACCCGAGCTTTAAGCCGGTGCTGTGGCCATACCAAGTGCACATGGGTGGGCATGATCCCTCGCCCGGATGTCCCGCAGAGAGGCTCGCCCTGGCTGTTCTGTCATTTTGAGGAACCGCCCAACGGCGTAATGGTGTGATGAAACCCGTAAGGATTCCCGAGGAGATTTCAATGCAAGGCAGTGCATCTAAAGCGAATCTGCGTCGGACGCGCACGCTGGAGTCGCATGGCTGATGGCTGAGTGGGGCCCCACTTGGGCAAGAAAGGGAAGTCAATTCCCAGGGTGATGCCTCTATTCCAGAGCCTGGACTGCCAATCCGGGAAGGTAATGGCTGTTGGCTCTCGAGAGTTGCATCGGCCGGTGTTACCCAAACAGGCACAGTGCCATCTAGATGCAAGTGCTCTTGCTTGCAGACCGGCCCACAATCCCATGTCCCCGTCGAGATATCCATGCTCTGATGAGATGGATGGGCCGAAGAGTTGGGACAAGAAGCTTGCTGTGGAGCTTCTGGACTTGAGACCACAATTTGCTGGTCCCGATTCGGGATCCGTCGGAACGTGATCCGAGCCGGAACTTGTGGAATGCATGAAAAACACCCACTGCCAGGTTCCCGCTAAAGAGGTTTAATGCCCAGCTCAGGGCGCGTTTGCTGGGATCCAAGCTTGGGGGATATGTCGCTAAGGAAGCAGCCGGTCTTTGGAGCTGTGGCGCCTCCGTGCAAAGTTAAATGTCAGGGACGCGCCGGTCACATCGATTGTGTCAACTTGACAAGCACGGCAGCTGGATGACAAAAAGCAATGTGATCTGTCAGGATACAGATGTTGTCCTCACACACCCATCTGCAGGAATGCACGTTGTGCTGCATTTGCACAGTCGGTTTTTTTTGCGTCTCACATGACATTCTCATCGACACCCTCACGGCTTTTGCCTTCTAGGCGCTTTTGAAGTGCCGCGCACATGTAAGCGAGGCCAGACGAGTTGCGTGCAAGACAATCTTCTTCAACGTCCTCGCGTGCATACATGTGCATACATGCATGCATGGCGAGTGCATTGCCGTATCTGGAGGCCTTGGCCGGGTTCAAATGTTTGACTGGGCCACATCGGGGAAAGGCCATGTGTTGTTGGCTTGCCACACCTCAAGAGAGGTCCAGCCACCGCATCGGATTCTGCAGCAAGAGGCCGAAGGATGTCTTGTGTGGTCAGGGGGATCTGTTCCCCCGTGCGCGCGTCCGAGGTCTTGACGCACAGTAGCCGGGGGCAGATGGGCATGCTGCCCATTCAGCCGGGATCCGACCTGCCCTGCAGGGAACGAGGGGTGGGATGGGACGGCCCGTGGTTGGACGAGAGGGATCTGCAAGGTACAGAGACATCCTTGGGGAGGTGGAGTCTCGGTCGCTACAAAGCGAGACGGCGGCCGACAGCCCCCGGGCTGGATACGCAGGGAGAGGGGACGGCCCCAAGAGGAAGAAGCTACGAGTCTAATGCGGTCATGGTGGGGACAAGTGATGTATCAGCGAAGTTATTGCAGCCATGTCGGACGATTTCAGACGCTGCGTGGAACCTGCTGCAAGCGATGAGGTTGGGCGAGAACCCGTTTCTCGGAATCGGGGCGGATCAGCCAGGTGGAGTTCAGACCAACTGGACCCTGTCTTGTGTGGGACTGCCGTGGATCAACCGTGGCTACTTATTGCTAAAGTTTTGGACAGATCCCCCAGCGATCGATCTTCCCGCGACTTGGGTAGCATTTTGTGGGCTGCAATCAGGACGAAGGCACCGTCGGAATTCCGAGTTTAGGCCCTACCCGTGCAGCAATGACATTCCCAGAGCTCACTGTACCGGGCCCGGTGACACACCTATCGCTCGTCCCATTTTCACCTCGGATGAGACGTTTCTGATCACTCGAACCCCAGCACATTAACTGACACCACCTTTCATCTGGTACAACATCGGTAGAATACTGCTAGAAACCCGCTACCTGAGCTTCTTTAGGGGAGCTGAGAAGATCCTGTATGACGGAAAGAGAATTGGGGTCATCATGCCTAGGCTGACCCACGATGGTTCGCTCGGTAATTTGGTTGTCTACTCCGAACTTGGATGGTGAAACAAAGCGGCTGCCTGGGGTGCCAATTAACTTTGTGCTACGGTCTTGACTCTCAAAGCTGTCACTTGGGCAACTAACACCTCCCGGCAAAAGTTCACCATGTCTTCGTGAAGCTCGAGATCCGAGACAGTACGAGTGAGCCACTCAGAGTTCGAAACATCAAATGCTGAAGGGATGTTTGCTGTATTCGCAACCGAACGAGCATGGCGGCACTTACATTGGGGCCAGTCCTACTGCAGCCGATAGACTACGGCGTACGGAAGCTGTATATTACAATATCATCTGCGAACACGTAGTAGTGCTCAGAATGCGGAGATGAGCCCACCGAGTAAGCAGTATCTGTCTGCCCCGAGACTTCATATACCGCAGTGTGTTTCTCGTGGGCAATTCAGGTTGAGCACGAAGACCATTTTCAGCTCTGACCATGGCCGTGGCACGTTCTGCTCAACTCGAGTGATTATCGTGAATGAAACACACATCACAGTGGATAGCATTAGGAATATATACATACGATGCGGGTCTCGGCGTCAAGCGCCCGCTGACATGGACTTAGACGCGAAGAAGCTCCAAGGGAATCAATGCATAGACAAAGCATCACTTGACAGATGTCATCTGATGAAAGTATAAGATTCTCGAAACTAGCGCCTTTCTTTTCATTCGGCATTCCAGACCATTCGCAGCTACCCTGGAAGCGTAGTGTAATTTACGAAGTCTATCCAAAGTCTGTCAGTTTTGGAACGGGCCATCTCCCAGCCCAAAAATCCCACAGAATCAATCATGAAGTGCGAAGATAGGCTTCTGTAGTCCTGAGCCATGACATCCCTGTGGCATTAGCAAACGACGGATGGAAAAGCCACACACAGGCAGCATATGCCTAGGTACCAACCAAATTGAAGAGCATGGTGGCGAACTACTCACAGAATCAATGCTCGAGACATGATGTGCGGCGTGGTGCGAGTATCGATAGAAAGCTCACGCAAGCACTTTAGCGGTCGCGGATCTAATCTGCTTTCGGACAAGAAGTGCCCCGCGACACGGAGAAGTATGGCAGTTGTGGAAGGTCGATGTTCTACGGAATGCTCCGTGGGTGCACACAATCGCTGCTTGCGTCCGCAGTATCCCCGGGTGTATATGATTCGCAGGTCGCAGGCCACGCCACACCCATTCGTGCCAATACGACAATGGTGAGGCTACGTGAGCCACAGAAAGAAGGGCATGTCCTGTGTCTCAACTACGAATTCTGACCCGAGTCCGGGCCGGCGCGAACTCCCCTGAGAGATGGTGTGTGTGCGCGCGAACGCCAGATTTGACTAGTTGACCGAAGCCATGTCAGCCCCTGGTATCGTACTCTATCTCGCAGGGTGCCTCGGATCGTACTCCTCTCCGTCGTTGCAGTCTCTGACGATGCAACGTCGAGCAGTAGCGGCGTTATCTCTTGCCACATAGTCTCGGCGATATGCCGACATGTCATCATCTGGCATAGCTGAGCTGGAGAAAGGACTGATTGGGATGTAACATGAAAAAGTGGTAAGCCCCGTTACTTGACAGCGCCCGTCAAGTCAAGTCTAGACAGTGTGAAACGGCCTTCATGGGCATGATATGTAGCCTTTCTCTGTAGCCTCCCATCAAGAAGACAAGGACACATGATGAGTGCCGTGCGTGGAGCACAGAACACAACACGGCGAGCGAGCTACCGGATGCTTGTTCTTGTCAGGCGACATTGGAACGCAATTGACCAATGCGTGGCGGCTCTGCTATTAACTTTTGAATCAGCAAAATCTGACAGATAATCTTCATACGTGATTGCCAGCGGCATCGTCAACAATGCAACTTCATCGTACACCCGTCAGCACCCCGCTTTCGGACATCTCCTGCCCCACCCCTTCCGTTCTACAGACATCTCTTGCTCATCCACGTCGAATACGTTCCAGTTATCTCCCCAAGCCAGCGGAAAAGATGGCGCGCGCAGCAAAGGTAGACGTTGCCTTAGTCTCCGATGGAGACATGCCCATCTGTGTCGAGGTCCTTTCAAAAGCGTTCGGCCACGACGCGCCGTTCGTGGACATCTACTTCCCCAACCACGATACACCGGCCGGTCAAGCCCAGGCTTCCAAGCGCTTGGTAGCCTGGAATCAGAGCTCCGAGAGCTCTACTTTCCTCAAAGCAATCGCGCGAGCTGACGGTGGGAGCCAGGAGCACATCATCGGTCTCGCGGTGTGGACCTTTATGAAGGAAGCACCGCCTGCGGAGCTTTCTGAGGCAGAGAACGTTGAAGAGGTTTGGCCCGATGAGGACGACCGCGAATTTATGACCCGTCTGTGGAGGGAGTACGTGATACCACGGAGTCAGACTATCCGGGATTCTGGGGGCAAAGGTGTCTACGGCATGTGAGAATCAATGATACAGAAAACGATATTGCTTATTAACATTTCAAATAGTGCTCGAGTTGCTAGCCGTTCATCCAGAATTTCAGCGACTTGGCGCAGGCAGAGCTCTCGTGGAATGGGGGACCAAGGCCGCAGATGAGCAAGGAGTCAAGGTTCGTAACAACTTTGCTGCTTTTAAGTCTCTGCTCCCAAATTCTTCTGAGCCTCCTGGTATTACTTGTCTTCGGTAGTAAGTCGATAGCTGATAATCCAGGCGGATAGGCCGTTGTCGAGGGGACACCAATCGGCCGACGACTCTATGAGCAATGCGGCCTATCTGCAGAGATTGAGGAAATGCGGTTTGATGTTGGAGAGGAGTACATTGGAAGAAGGAAACCGAATCTCGTATATTTGACAAGGAGCCCCCGAATTTGAGATTATCGTTGGTTGAGGGTTTGGCGTCATCGGCAGCAAGATTGACAACCATTTGGTAACTAGCAGGAATTTGCATTTACTCAATATCGTATAGTGTCGCGCACTGATTTGGTGACTCTATCCAGTGTGATCCCTACCTGGTTGTCTTGCTTAAGCAACTCCACAGGCTACTGTAAAAGGTCACCTCGTGGACAACAGCTTAAATGGACGATAATATTGTTGAACAAGAACGGAACTTTATCTGGCCCTCTTCGCCCTATCTGTTACGGTGCAGCATTGGAGTCGTGGTAATAACTTGTTGTTGCGCGAAGAAAGGAAAACTAGAAGTCTACAAGCCGCAGGCGAAGCTGCGGTGTTTATAAGGCGGGCCACTGTAGTGGGTACCGTGACACTATCAGCCCCTCTTAGAGCTCCTCCATTCCTCGATCCAGCTTCCCACAAACTGAACAATGTCGGCTTGAGCCTCCGCGATGGCTTTTGGGGGCTGCTTGTCCTGAGTCTGGTTTGCAAATATCCCGTTGGCTTCCCAGTGATGGCCAGCACCTCTAAGACCATCCCAAACGTCTTCTGGCGGATTGTCGATCAGGATCCACGGCTCCGAGACTGTAGACTCGCGAGGAGGGGCTCCGTCAGCAGCAGGGGTTGCCTCGCGCCACACGTCGGCGAGACCGTTGATGATGGCCAGGCGGGGGTATGAAATATCAAAGCCGCCGTACTTGTTTATCGCTGTGATGTTGGGCGGGGTGACTATGCCGAACTCGGCTTCGCAGTACGAGTTTTCGTACTCGAGATCCAGGATGCGTGATATCAATGGCTTGCCGAGCGACGAGTCGAACCCGGAACCTGTGACCCAGTATCCCCATTCGGTGCAGGTTTGATACCCCCATGAATCGAATTGCTCCGCGGGAACGGCAGTCTCGGCCAAGGACGCCTTGGTGGAGGCAGACTCGTCTGCAGGACCCGCATCTGCAGGGGAGGATCGTCCGAGGTATCCGGCATAGTTGAGCAGACGCAGGGTCAGCGTGTCGTTGCCGCCGTAGCCTGTGGCTTCTAGGATCTCAGAAGCTGAGGCGTTGACCGCGGCCGATGAGGGATATTCTAGTTTGGGGCTTGTGATCTTCTGACACCAGTTGCTGAAGGTACCAGACCCAATGACGGGGTCCCAGTTCCTACTTTGCCAAGAATTCAATCCCTCATAGAGACTATCGACGAAATTTTGGTCCAACGCAGTCTCGGCGTAGTTGAAGAAGAGCTTGAACTGGCCCTTCAGAGTCTCATTCTTGCTGTCGATGAAGATCTTGTCGACAACATCGGTGATGAACTGCTGCGTCCAGATGCAGTCCGCTGGTCCGTACTGTCGGACCGGCTCAAAGTATCGCCAGTAATCAACCATGGCTTCAGTCACGCCTGAAGACGAGACACCGCCCCAGAAAACGTCCGGATATAGCTTTCGGAGAAACGCCGACTGTCCGCCAGAGTAAGAGACTCCATACACGATCCAAGGGGTGCCTGAGGATGTGAGATTCTCATTTTCGAGTCCAGGGAAGACGACATTTCTGGCAAAGTAGGCCGCGTCGGCAAGGGACTGCTCTGTCGACAGGAACCTAGCGTCCTCTATCGAAACGTCCTCAAAGGGGAAGCTGGTCCCATAATAACGATGTTCCAAGATGACACCAATACCGCCATGAGCCGAGGCAAGCTGATAGAGGATGCCTTTCTCAAGGAGTGGAAACCGATAGTTTCCTGGTGCTTCGCCTGCAACAAACAGGATGACAGGGCCGCCGGGTTTGTAGTGGCTGGCATCGAACCAATAACGATTGTTGAAGGTGCCATCACTGTGTGGTTCATACCGGCTTTCATTTTGGAAGTGATCAATGGGAATGGACAGGTTGTGTGCTGGATACGAGGCAGCCAGTTCTGCGCCCACAGCGCGCAGCGAGACTTCCCCCTGGCCGTCAGCGTCGATAAACCGCCGTGCTCCACCTACTGCAGCACCCACGGCCGTGGCCAAAAGTGACAGACATGCCAGTGAGAGCATCTTCGCCACCGGTCTTGAAGCTCCTGCTTTATGCCACGAAGCAATTGACTTGATGTGCCGAGACGGACAGACAGACCAGTAGTGACGAGGCAAGACAAGCAAAATTAAGAGCAAACAAACAAGCAATCTTTGGTTCCACACGGCTTATTTCTAAGCAGCCGAGTCGGGATTGCGGCATGGAATCCTGCTAGGAAGGTGGATATACTTTCGGTCTGTGTCGACGATCATTGACTGCGAATAGCCCGTATAACGGCATTGCTAGGCCGATACGAGGTAATTTGCATGAAATAAGGTTACATTACAGGGCAGAGGGTTTCTAGCTAACTAGGATTAGAAGGTGACCTTTCAAGATGGACCTGGGAGCACAGGATCCTTTCGGCTATAGCGGGGAACAACCTGCTGTCTTGGCGCATGGAAGGAGCGCCCCAAGTCTACTCGGCTGAGAACAAAACTTTAACAAAACCTTGAGTGCAGCTGACACCATTGGTTTCACGATGCTGAGCAATCACTCGGAGAAACTTTTGACAGTCTACAATGAAGTTAGAACACGCATAGGCAGAGACACATTATTTATTACGGTATCTCTTATTCTTCGGACAAATCAGTCATAAACTGCCTCTGATAGTCGCGGATACCAATGCTCAGAAGATGACCCTACTTCTTTCTTCCGTAGATCTTGAGTGCACGCACATGTGAACCCTCCTATGGAATGTCAGAGACTTCTGGAAACTCGTTCTCAACCAACCAGTCGAGCCTTCCTGAGTCCTGGCCATTCATACAAAATCCGAAGAAGGCGTCGGTGAGCTCCGTTTCGATCCGTAGAAGCCTGTCTCCCGGGAAAGTCCCAAACAGTTCTTTTGTGGAAGGAAACTTGTCCCCAAGAAAATCCCGGTAGATAGCAACATCTTCAAAAGACTCATGTTCCGCTCCGTTCACGAGGAATTCGCGCTTGAAGCCGTCCAGGTTCTCCCAAAACTCTGCCCAGGACGGGTCAATACTTCGAGTGTGGTTCCATGACGCAATCTGCACGAAGGGGTTCTCAAGGCCCAAGCCTGCCACAGATCCGAAAATGGTCCCATCAATATTAAGCCCGCAGGAAAAGGTGCTGTAGTTCGCCATGGCTTGTGCAGCCGTAGCTCCGCCGAAAGAGTGGCCAAAGATGCCTACAGCGTCGGTGTTGAGCTTCGTGCTGCCCTCCTCAAGCCCGGGGATCTTTTTCAGCGTGGCTGAGTCCCCCAGCGCATCCGCAACAAACTTGACATCCGCCACGCGAGTTTCCAGCAGCAGCTGCACGTAATCAAGACCGGCGCCAGGGGGTATGACCGACTTCACTATCCGTCCGTCCGGAAACTCGACGGCTATGGCTTCGTACGTGTGGTCAACCGCCACAACGATCCACCCATGGCTCGCCAGTTCTTCCATCTGGGACGTGTAGATGAGACGTGAGCCCCCGAGCCCGTGGCCGAAAATGAGAACCGGCAGCTCGTTGTCCACCAATGGGGCGTTGAGGTATGAGCGCGTGATGATGTTGGCTGATGTGCCGTTCGGGACACCGGCATGATTGTCGAAGACCGCCGCCATGGAAGGGGTGAAGGCGGGTGCAAAAGAAAAGTTTCCGTGATCAGGCGTGGTACAGTTCGTTGGATAAAACAGAGATACCATAAGGTCTCTGTTGTCCCGGGGCTCTGGCGCCAGCGGATCGGCGCGCGAGAAGTCGACTAGCTCGAGAGAAACGGTGCCTACTGGGAATGGGCCTGATGTGGGTGGAAGCTGCAAGCTGGAAGCCAACGCTCCTACAGCGAACGAGGCAGAGATTATCGAGCAGACGCGCATGGTGACGGGTTGAAGTCCAAGACCAAATTACGAGACTGTTTTGACTGTGGGGTAGCACAGACTGAAGCGCAGTCCATCTCAAGCGACCCGATGGGCCATCTTATATGAATTGGGAACTTGGACTAAACCACTATACGTGCACGTCGGGGCTGAGTCTGAAGGAATGCTGTAGTGCCTGCAATGCTTGCACTTGCCCCACCGCGGCTCAATAGATACATATTGTCCTTGCCTTTCTAGGAGAAAGTAATTCTGCCATACAATTTTGCCTCGAAGTCTACGGGTCGTTCATTATTTCGTATCCTGCCATGTTACACCGGTAGCAGTTCTTGGCAAGGCTGACTGAACAAGCAAATCAGCTCATTTCCTCCTGGACGGTGTAAGGTTTTGAATCCTTCCGAGCTGTACACGAGATTGAGCCAGAATGACGCAGGGGATGATCGCCAGGGCGAAGGATTTAGTACATGCGGGACCGCGTCTCCAGCCGAGACATTTCATCAATGCGCAATTGAATTCAACCCAAGGCCAAGTGAAGACCTGAGCGGACACTCCCGATGTCTCGGTAGGCTTACTGACAGGTTGATTCTTTGCTTATATTAGCTGGTTCTGCAGTCGGGTCGGCCGCGAACTTCCACGTTCCTACGAACTGTAGATGCTCAAAATATATATGTTAGCCACAAAGGGCGCGTCGGAAATTAATGGCGAAGCTTGTTTGATTGCGATAGAATTTTTAATAATTTAAGATACACTTGCTGATGTCTCAGTAATACCTCACCTTGCATAAAAAAAGAACACGATGTTCCACAGTCTCTGGCTCATACTAGCTGCGCCCGCCATGCCCGGCGTATCATTCGGGAGTGCTCGCAACTTGACGGAACCGTTCCGCAAGAGAAAATGATTTTTGAAACGGACAACGACGAATATCTTAGCCGGAGAAGAGACATACGTATTTATTATCGAGTAGCTTACATATTCGCAAAATTCTCATACAACACTCGCAATGACTTCAGTCGGGCCGGAGCATTCTGCGTGACCGTTTCAATGCCTAGAAATCTTCAATATCTCCAGTCTTGCCACGACTACAGACAACGCTGCACATTTTCTCGTCCTCAGCAACTACATGGTGCAGCTGCTGGCTGCGTTTTGCAGGCCAGATCTCATGACCTGTTTCTTGCTCGAGGTCTAGGTGCTTCTTCAGTTCCTCCCTTACCAATTTCTTGAAATACAGAACACCGCTCTCGCGCTGAGAGTGCAGCGGTCCATGCATGTAGACACCTGAGTTCAAGTTCATCTGGACGCCATTGCACAGGTCGTAGTCCTCCAGCTCGATGCCCTCAAAGAAATCGGCAGCCCTTTGAAAGACACCCATGGATGAGTCAGGGTTGCGAAATGTCTGGTACCCCGTAATGACTGTGGTTGGACCGGTCGGGATAACACGCATGATGAAGAAGTACGGGGTAGAGAGATTAACAGATGTGTTGGGGAAGTTGTAGGTGAAGGCCCCATTGCCAAAGAACTGGATGTCTTCCTCCTTGACGTCGTCCCTATTGGGTGGGAAGTGCTCAAAGCGGCCTCGGTAGGGCGTGACGGAATACCTGTCGAGGTTGGTGATCTGCCTTGCAACGGTAGCACTTTGAGACAGTCGGCGGAAAACCCGTTCACTTGCGTCGCTGCGACTTACCTCGTTGTAATTCTCGCCGACCAACTTCCAATTGTATTTGCCATTCGTATTCCACGTCCGGTGGTACACACAATTGTCCAGGGAAAAGTCGCCGAGGCGGGGCTGCTCATCAGTGCCCCATTTCATTGTCTCCCAGGGCATCGGCGTCTCGGAGGAATCGAAGTTGACCCAGACGAAGCCAACCTTGTCGACATGGGTGTGGATCTTGAAGAGACTGTAGGAATCCTTATCAAAGTCGCTGAGCTCATCAAACTTGGGAGCTTTGGCGAGCTTGCCGTTCAGGCCAAAAGACCAGCCTAGAAGAAAAATGGTGAGCACCAGTGTCAAGAACAAGACGATACGATACGTAAGACTAACCATGATAGCCGCAGCGTATAACGTCCCCGGCCCCGATTCCGATCACCCCCTAATCCCGATCACCTCAGCACCCATACACTCCCTTATTATCACCCTTAATTGCCCGCTACCATAATGCATAATTCCTTTTTTATTAATATTTTTAATTCTTTAAAGGCATTGCTTTCTTTTAATACCCTTCCCATCTTTATTTAAGCCTTATAAATAGCCTTAATATTAATAAAAGCTATATTTAAATTAATTTAAATTCTTTTCCTTATAATTTTTTAGCTAACTTTAATTTAAGCCTTAAGCTATTAATTTTTTTATTAAATTATTATTAATTAAATTTCTTTTTTATTATATACTTTAAAAAGCTTTTAAAAAAATATTTATAATATAAAATTAAAATATTTATTATAATATTAATAAATAATTAATTAATATACTTTTTATATTATTAAATTTTAATAATTTATGCTAAATTTAATAATTTTTAAAAATATAATAACTTTTAAATATTTTATACTTAAATATTAGCTAAAAACTTATTATTCTTTATTTTAATTAAATATTTAACTTTATAAATACTTCTTTTTATGCCTTATAATAATAATAAAAAAAACCCTTTTTTTATTATAATTATTAATAAATTATATTGCTTAAATTAATAAAAATACTTCTTAAAGGCATTTTTAAAGGTAAAAAGATTATTATATTAAAGGGCTAAAATATATATAATATATATATAAGCAAAAAAAACTATATATATATATATAATTTAAATAATATTTTTATATAAAGTTAATAATTATATATATTATTGGCGGGTGCAGGGAATTACGTAAGAAATGGTACCGCGCTAAATTCCGGCTGGCTATAAAAAGCTAGCTTTTACGCTTATTTTAAATATTCTTTTAAGAAATCAACTCTTTTCTTTTTCTTATACATTTAGTGCTTTAATTAAGCTTTTCTTATTTTTAAGAATTTTTAAAATATTTATCTTTTCTCTTTCTTTAGTTTCCTTTTATTTCTATTTTTCCTTTTTATTATATTAAAGTTTCTCCTTAAGTTATCCTTAAAAGGGTTTAGCAGAACCTATTCTTTATTATTTAAGTAGTTTATTTTTATTAATAATTTAGCTTAGGCATGATTTTAATCTTATGCATTTTTAATTAATAATAAAAAAAATAAAAAGTTAGCTATAAGCTAATTATTTATTAATTTTATTTCTTTTTATTTTTATATTAAATATTGCTAAATTATTTTATATATTAGCTTAAAGCTTTAATTAAAGCTTATATTTATTTTTAACTTATTATAAAAAAGAGTTAAGTATAATTAAACTTATAATAATATTATAAATACCTTAAAACTATTTTTTAATCTTAAGGTATTTCTTATACTTTTAATATTTAAATAAAATATTATCTTAATTTTATATTAATATATTATTAAGCTTTAAATTTATTTTAAGTTTTTTATTAAAAATTATGCTTAAAATATAATAATAATATAAATTTAAGATTAAAATAATAAATTTAAACTTTATAAATATAACTTAATATTAATTAAAGGTACTTTAAATTTATAATTAATATTTATTATTATTATTATAACCTTAAGCTTAAAATAAAAAAGGTTATAATATAAAATTAAAATACCCACTTTATTTACTTATAAATTTAATAAGTAACATTATATTATATATTTTTATATTAATTAAATTATATAAAAAACTTAAACTTAAAGTATAATTTTACTTAGGCTTTAATTAAACTTAAATTTAATTTATTAAGAATTTAATATAATATTAATAAGCAAGGCATTAAATATAAATTTAAAAGGCTTTTTTTATTATAATTTTATAATTCTTATTTCTTAATAAAATATTCTTTTATTAAGTTTATTTTATTTATTATATTTATTAATATTTTTATTTTTTAAATTTTAATTTAAATATTTTATAATAATATTAAAAATAAATTCCTTAAAAGCAATTACTTTAATTAAAGATATTATTGCTTTTAAGTTTCTTTATTTTATTATTATTTTAATAAAAATTATTATAATATATATATTATACTTTTAAGCTTAAAGTTCTTTTAAATTTATTTTTATTTTAAAAGTATTTTAAAACCTTAAAAACTATTTATTTTCTTTTACTTAAAGCTAAAAAAGAAATCTTAAGAAATTTATTAAGGAAAAAGAGAGATTTAATTTTATTTATTATTAATTAAAATATTAGCCTTATTTTAATTAAACCTTATAATTTATTATTAATAATAAATTAAGAATTTAAATTAATATTTTAAAAGTTTTACTTTTTATTAATATAATAATTTTATTATAAGTAGCTTTATTTATAATTTATAATTTAAATATTTTAAAGTTTAATAAGATTAATATTATTAAAGTTTTAAATAGCCTTAAAATTATTACTTATTAATTTTCTTATTTAAATAATTAAATTTTAAAATTATTTAAGCAATATTATATTACTTTAAACTTAATAAGAGTAATTAAAAGCATTATTGCTAAATAATTTATTTAAAAAAATTAAAAAAAAAAGCTTTTTATCTTTTATAAATTTAATAATTAAATTTATTATATAAACTTAATTATAATTATTAAAGATATTATTTATAATAATCTTTATAATAATTTAAAAGTATAAAAAGAAAAGATTATAAAATATAATTAAAAACTTAATAATATAAATAATATTTTTCTTATTATAATTTAGCTTTTTTATAAAATGCTTTTATTATATTTAAAAAAATAATTAATAAAAGAAGAAATTACTTATAAGTTAGCAAGAAATGTTCTTTAGCTAAACTTTAAATATACTTTATTAAAAGTTATTAATTAAAAACTTAAGTATTTTAAGCAAAATAAGTATTTATTTATATAAAATAATTTTAATTAAAATTTACTTAATTTAAAAAGGTTAAATTTCCTTTAAAAAAGCTAAAATAATTTTAATTTTTTAAATTATCTTTAAAATAAAAATTTATAAGCTTAATAATCTTTATTTAAATTTAATTATATTAATATTATTAAAAAATATAATTAAAATTTATAAAATATAAATAAACTTATTAAAAGATTTATAAAGTTAAAACTTAATTTAATTAAGTTTAAAAATAAATTTAAGTTATTTTAATAAAATATTAAAGCTTTTTTTTATAATAAATAATAAAGTAATTTTAAAATAATTAAGTTAAAGGCTATAAATTTTATTTAGCAACTTTTAATAAAACTTAATTAAAATAATTTTAATAATAATAAGATATAAGCTATAATTTTAACGCTTTTTTTTAAAAAAAATAAATTACTTAAAGTTTATTATAATTATACTTTTTAAAATTATAATATATATTAATATAATAAGCTTAAGTAACTTTTTTTAAATAATTTATTAATAGCTTTTAAGTTAAAAAAATTATTAATATTCCTTAACTTATTTAAAAATACTTAAGCTAGCTTTTTAAAATATTTAAACTTTATTTATATTTAATTATATTATAATTAAAATAATTATAATTTAAAAAAATATATTTATAATTAATTAAAGTTCTTATTTAAAAAAAGAAAATTTAATTTACCTTATATAATTTAATATTATAAGCTTATTAAGATAAATCCTTTATTTAAAGAAAAGGCTTTATTAAAAACCTTAAAAGTAATTTAAAAGCTTAATAATTAAAAGAAAATTAGCTTAATTTTAATATTTATAAATTTTATAAATTATATAATTTATATTAAGAAAAAGCTTATAATTATAAATAATAATAAGCTTTTTTAAATAAATATTATTATAATTAAAAAAAAGTATATAATTAAGAATATTAAAAATTAAAATAAAGTTATAAGAATTATAAAGATTAATTATATTTAACTTAAAGATTTTAAAAAGATAAAAGATAATTAATTTTAAATTATTAATAATAAGTTATAGCTAAGAAATAAAAAAAAGGTAGGAAAAAGGAAAAACTTATTTATTAATTAAAATTAAACTTAAAAAGAAAATATTAAATTTTTTATAATAAAAGTAAGCTTAATAAATATAATAAACTTAAAATTAAAAAAGTATATTTAATAACTTTTATTATTTAAGGAAAAGGTAATTTAAATAATTTTAATTATAATTATTAAAATAAATATTATAAATATTTTAATGCTTAATAATATTAATTTAACTTTAATTAAGTATTTATTAATAATATAATTTAAAATATATATTTTATTAAAAATACTTTTTAAGTTAATATATTTTAAAGATTATGCTAAAGATTTATTTTTTAAAGTTAATATAATTATTATTTTAAAAAATAATATTAAGGTTAATACTTTAATTAATTTATTATAAATTATTTAATATTAAATTAACTTTATTATTATATTTATTATAAATATAATTAATTAAAATATTTTAATTTAGCTTATTTAATAATTTATATAAAAATAAATAATTACTTTTTATAATTTACTTTTTTAAATATTAAAGTTAAAATAAATTTCTTACTTTTATTATATTATAAATATAATAAACTTTTATATGCTTTACTTAATAATATAAACTTAATAATATATAATAAGGATTTTTTATTTTTAATTAAAGTTATAAAAGAGTAAATTTATATTAATTTAAATAAAATTAAAGTTATATTCTTTATTATTAATAATAAAGCCCTTAATACCTTATATTATATTTTTTTAAAAATACCCTTTTTTTTAAATATAAACTTAATATTTAAATAATTAAAGAAATACTTTTATACTTATTTTATTTTTAATAATATTAAAGTAATATATAATTTAAAATAAAAGAATTAAAAGCTTTTTAAAGTAGCTTTTTTTAAGAAAGCTTAAGTTTCTTAAAAGTATTTATTAACTTTTAAAAGCATTTCTTTATTTTTTTTAAGCCTTAATTAAAGCTTAATATTAATTAATATATTAATAATATTAATTTATTTTAATATTAAGGTAAAAAAAGATAAAAAGGTTTTAAGCATTTTCTT